GGGGGGGGGTCTTCGACCTGAAAAATCAGGGGTTAGGATTTGCACCCGGTCGAAAGAAACCTTGCTATCGCAAGAGTAACTCCAGCTAGCTTCGCTAGCTTTCGTGATTATTGTTGTTTATGTTAGTTATTTCAAACATTCTCTTTAAGCTGGTTGGGTTCGCCTCAAATACAGTATACAATAACAAGTTTACTAAATAAATGAAGAATTGATTGGAAATCAAGGTGATGGCAATCTGCGCGCCAAGGGCAGTAGATGTACCTGTCAGGCAGTGGATATACCCATCATATTCAATTTGTATAAAAATGTCATTTAAATCCTCAAAATACATTAAAATACACACAGAACATGTCGCTTTGAAAACCAACGACAAAGAACCTCAAAAAGAGCTGCAGCAGACTCTGTGTCCTTGCGGTCAACAAACTGCCTGTGCTGAGGCTGAGGCATAACTTCAAGGTAACTATGCAAAGCCTTTTGAAAATCTGAAGAATCATAAACATGGGCCTCTATTGGGCTTGTTCCCCCACCTGCGCCCAGTCTCCACCAGGAGCTCCACGAAAAGCTCAAAGGCCTGGGCAATTAAGCAAAATTCTTCTTTAGGCAAGGAAGAGTTTTGAAAAATGAGCGAGATGAAAGTGTAGTCCTAGCACATCTCTTAACTACAGTTGGTTAAAAGCCCCCACATTCACTGCGCTTTCTGAATATTTGGTTGTGGGTGGGCAGCACTCAGAGCGCGCAGTGAGGCGTAGTGATAGTAGATTTGGATAAATGCGCACCCGGCAAAATACTCTATTGCACAGTAAGGACAGCACCAAGGCTGGTTCTCCAGAGTCTGCAGGGCTGCCAAATCGCTCAGCAGTTTCTCGGAACACTGCCTGAAGGGACAAAGCTGGCAAAAGGACCCTGTGTCCACGCACGGAGCTCCAAAACCTTGCAGCGTTTCGTCCGAAGTACCTCTAACTCGCTTTGTGAGAGGCGGAGTTGCGAAGCTTGGGCCAGGCGAAAGTAGTCCTGCGATTAAATCACCACAGCGGCTCAGACTGCAGTTCAGGGGCGGTTCAGGAGGATTTCTCGTGAACACAGCCCAGCAATGTCCAGCACCCTTTTGCAAGCGCTTTGTCAAGTTGACTGGTGATCCATGCACTTTCTGCATTGAGCAGCATGTGCATGCTAGGGCTTGGATCAAGGATCTCTGCTGAGAAGACAGAAGATCATTGGAACCCTTGCTTCTCACGCAGCCACACGTCTCACTGTGTCTCAGCCTTTGTGTGGGTTTGCGAGCGATTTGCGAAAAAGTTGGACAGTCAAACTTGGCGCAGCTTTGATTATGTCTGACATCGGCATGCCGAGAAACTCCTTCAGCTGGTTGAAAAAACACTGCTGGGAATCGGCCTTGCGGGTTATATGGCTGAGACAAAACTTCAGGAGATTGGCAACTTCTTCATGTCCCCAATGCTAAAAGTATTTTGGGTTGGCCGCTATTGTTTTCCAGTGTTTCATAATGCAGGCAATGAGCTGCTTTCAATCAAGGAAGGGTGTCAGAAAATATCCGGAAGTTTGTCGGATGCTCAGCTGTGTTGTTTGAACTGTTTGAGCTATCGTTTGAAGTCTGGAGCCACATCATCAACTGGCACAAGAAAGCATTGCTTGAGCTTGGCTCGACTCAATAGTCCGGCTGTTCCGTTAGCAGGCCGCTTATATTCTTATATAAGTGTTTGGATGACATCGTGGGCGTGAAGTCTAGAAGTTCTCTGCAAGAAACCCTCCATTCATGACTTTGGAAAGTGCCTTCTTCGCCAGTCAGGGTTGTTCCGCGGAACCACCCTTCTTCGGGGCTCATTGATCCTTGAATGCAAGGCGCGAATTCAGTACAAGGCCTCTAGGTACATCAAATCTGTGAGGGGGGCACCGTTTTCAGTGTGACGTCCAAAACGTTTACCTTCTCCAGCATTCTTCCGGGATTCTTGTGCCTCCAAGTTGCTGACTATTACAAACTCACCCCGCTGCAGGTCAAGGTACCTGAGACTAGAGACTGCATGAGACAAATAGACAAACTCAGACTCAGCACAGCTTCAGATCATCTTCCAGCAAGCCTAGATGCCTTTCATGGGGATACTCCTGATCCACAAACTCGCTTCCTGAGCTCAATGTACAGCATGGTGCCTACACCGGGCATGGGGAACATTTCATCTCATGATTGTCTTCCTGCATGCAAGAGACCTTTGAAATCTGCTTTCACTCGTCCAACCTTACTCGAGCAATTGACGCCGATCAAGCACTTGGATATTTAGAACTAAACGAAAAAATAAATGCAAACAAGAGGGCAAGGGCTCTAATGAGGCCCTATCACTTCACACGTGGCTTTATCAATGCTGACAAAGTGACTATGGGAGGAAGCTGGCTCGAGCCGGTCGCTGCCCATTGTTGCTCCTGCAGGTCTTAGCTCAGCTACTCTAAAGAAAGGAACCTGCAAAAAAATGCAAGCTCTTCGTAGACAACTTCCAGTAGACGTGGCTGGCATCAAAGTAGCGACTGGCAGCCTCTTGGTTCTTCTTGCGGTGTCTCCGTCCCTCTTCCACGTCCTGGTCATCAGATCGGTTCATAAATGATCATAGTAGTCTTGAGAAGCGTAAACCTTTCTGCCCAAATGTGAAAACCCTTTCTCTGAGAAAGGACAAACAAACTACTGACTCAAAACGTCAAGCTGTGCTGACTGCTTTGCTGCAGGTCCTGCTCAGTGATCTCTGCAGGTAACTCAGGATTGATGGCACGAATGGTGTGTTTCCTTGTCACAAGCCCCATCATGTCTGTAGCATTCTGCTTGCAATGCAGGCGGCTTTTGCTGTGTGCAATGTGTTCACTTGTCCACAAACAGCAGTGACCACAGGTTTGCAGAAGCCACATGCTGGAACAAATTCAAACAAACCCAGCCTCGTTGCTCGTACCCAAATATGTTGGTCCGGACCGATAGTTTGCTCAAACCTGCAAAGCCACTTGAGCTCCAAAGCTGCAAGGTACTCAACAATGTGCTCCAACCCCTCTGGACAAAATATAACTGTACACGGCTACGGACTACAACTGCAAACAAAGGACTTCCAAGAAGTGTTCGTCTGTTTCAAGCTTCAAGCAAGCAACCTGTGCCTCTTGCGGTGTGAGGCTAACTTGTGTTAAATGTGTAAACAAATCGTCCTATGTTGCTCACATCTTTGTCACTGCAATACTCCACCTCGGACTCCCATCTTTGTTGAACATGACATTGACAATTTCGACCACATCCTGCTCGACATCCTCCTGGCTGGAAAGTCCATGCTGGGCGAAGACTGGAAGGGGGGATAGATTTTAGATGATTTTAGGATAAACGGCCAGACTTCGGAGTTCACCAGTCGAATATGTCTCCACTTCGTTGCGGAGTTTTCCGGAGACGAAGAAAACGAAGAAGGCGAAGAAGAAGAAGAAGAAGAAGACGAGGAGAGAGGGAGGGAGAGAGAGAGAGAGAGAGCGAGAGCAAGCGAGAGAGAGAGAGAGAGAGCGAGAGCGAGAGCCAGAGCCACAGCCAGAGCCAGAGCGAGAGCGACATAAAACTTTAAGGAAAGAACAAGGCAAGAGTCACTGGATGCATTGATGCAGCCGAGAGTCAGAGACTGTGTGGCATCGCAAGCAAGGCAAGAGGTCCCAGAGCCGGACAAAGCCACCTGTGCAAAAGATCCTTTGTAGAAACATTTCCTGACTTTGCATTCTTGTTCGAAAGTGGACGGAGCACGAAAATATGATGAAGAATGCGATCGATACCAGCTTGACCAACTCCTTGCCTGCAGTAAAGTAGAGCCCCCGCTTTTTCCCAGCATGTCTCAAGAGGCAGGTCATTGCCTGGCGCAAGAGGCAATTCTTACATAGTTTTAACAAGATTGTCAGGGTAGAATACTATGAGTAAGAAAGACTTCTTGCGGTCTAAGCACTCCAGTTTCTAGTAGCATGGAGATGCATGATGCAGTTGAGTAGAAGAGTCATGGGTAGGTGATAATAGGTGTCAACGTGCATCGTACATCTACTGTGTGATTTAAAGCTTCGTGAATGTTGGTCCTCCAAGCCTTGGAGAGGTCATTGTAAGACTTTCTGGGCGCCATTGATATGTTGCGTTGGCGTTCGTGTTTGCAAAAAAGGGCCCACTTGCGTTTGCTCGAAACTCCAAGTCAAGAGGCGCAAGTTTCAACAAGACCCTCAATGCCAAAAATACTAAAAGCTAGCAGCTAGCATGATAAGCAGTGCCCTTGCCAACATCTTTGTTTGAGATCAAAGGGCTGCAGGTGTTGCAGTCCTGGAGTTATCACATGTCATGCTATGCACATGTTCTGCTTCATGTGTCCTCCTTCTTTGCCCCTCCTGCATGCCCAGTGCCACACGTCCGGAGCGACCACCACCAGGTTTGGCCACGGATCCAGCCTTACAATTACAAATGCAGTTCCTGTCCTTGATCTGATTGACCCTCGAATTCGTGGCCTGACAATGATCCCAAAGTGTCACTGAGCAAAGGACGGCACGACTTGCGAAAGAATGGAACAGCTGCTTCATGGCCTACCATTATATCATTTAAGCGCGAAGGGAAATTGTTTCACCGATGGGAAGAGCTTGAACCCGCTCTCTCTACCAAAGAAAAATTACACATTTTTCCCGAGAGCGCCTGAACAAAGGGTTTTTCAAAAGACTGTGCGTTACATATCATCACAACTTACATCTGCACATATCCAGACACGCACATCTTCACATTTGCACATATCCGTGCATATCCTGCCACCCACATCTTCATTGATTCACATCGCACATATCCCTGTCTCTCTCTCTCTCTCTCTCCTTTGTAAAATTCAGCAGCTGTTTGTTTGTCGTTTGTTTGTGCACGTCTCTGTATTGTTTTCCTTTGGCACTTGTCACTAGGCTCAAGCTAGGCTAGGCTCAAGGCCTTTGATCCAGGGTGCATTGTATAGCACCATGCAATTGTACATGAACACTACGATGGAGTAAACATACAATTGTACAGAAGGTTGTATCTTGACACCGTCCCTTGGTTTGATTCATTGTTGAATCACACCATCTCTACAAACATTGTATCATTGTACATAAACAGTTCGGGCATTGTAGGCGAGTCTGTACATGTTCTTCTGCCTTGTCTCTCCAGTGTTGCTGCCCTTCTCATCGTTGCGCTCGTATGGCATCGTCACAGCTGGAGATTTGCAGATTGTTGAGACATTGTCTCAGCCCTCCATGTCATCCATCTGATTGTCTGGGGCCTCCGAGGATTGTCTGGGACGTTTTGTCCCCTTTTCTTCTTCCTCGTCTTTTGACTTTTCCATAATGTCCTCATTGTATAGGACTGCTCGGTCCTCCCACAAAGAGATTGTCGAGTTTGTGGGAAGTCGACGCTGATTTTGGTAGTCCGGGATTGTCATCTCATTGTTGCCAATGTTGTTCTCCAGCAAATAGTTGATCGCGATTGTTCAGCGCTTGTGAGCAAGAGGCGGCTGCGGTCAGAAAGATTGTTGACAAATTGTCAACTGAACACGCATTGTCTTTCAAATTCTAAAAGCAAAACTTCACACACATTGTTCATCGAATTGCCCTACGAGTCGACGACAGAAAAGATCGGATCCATTGTGAGACTGAAATCTTGTAGTACATATTGTCTATGACATAGTATGCACATAGTAGCTAAAGTAGTGTGCCATGGCTTGATGCCCCGTGTGTGTATTGTACACGCATTGGCGCTGCCATGTTTGTGAAACTGTTTGCACGATCGTCGTTCAATTGTGGTGTTGTGGGCATTGAATGCCCGCCAGGTAGAGGTGTTTGTTAAGCACCTCTGCCGGGACATACTTTGTCAGTATGTCTGCTGGGTTGTCGTGCTCGCTTATCTTGTGTATTGATAGGATCCCGCTTTGTACCAGTTGAAGAGGTACTTTAGGTCAATGCGCTTTGCTTTCTTTGATGAGCCAATTCTTGTTGCTATGCTCTTGCCGCTTGTGCTGTCGGTATGTATGCGAATGTTCACCTTTGTTGTTGCTTCCTTGATGAAGTTTGCTATATGTAGTCCTTCTTGTGCCCCTGTACCAATTACATAAAGCTCTGATTCTGCTGATGATAGTGCTACTACTGCTTGTGTTCTGCTTCCAAATTGTACCACGGATCCCATCATTGTCACGATGAATCCACTTGTTGATTTTCTTGCGCGTGGGCATCCTGCCCAGTCTGCATCGACATAAATGTTGAGGTCGATGGGCTCCTTTGTTTGTGGTGTATGCGTTGTCCTCAGGGTCATTTTGTAGTGTTGTGTTCCCCTGAGGTATCGTAGAAGGCGCTTCACCTTGCGTAGGCTTTGTTGCGTTGGTTGTTGTAGGTCTCGCGCCAGTTCTTTTGTTGCAAAGCTGATGTCCGGTCTTGTGTAGGTCAGCCATTGAAGCTTTCCTACTGCTCTTCTGTAATCTGCATGTTCTTGTGCATCTAGAGGTGCATCATCGTTTGTGGATTGTTTCAGGGTTGCCGTCCCTGGAGCTGATGCTGGATTGCTTGCTTCCATTTTTGTTTCCTTCAGCACTGTGGTGATGTATTCTGGTTTGAGGCTCTCCTCAAAGAAGTCTCCATTGTTGTGGATGTCTCTGCCAAGGAATTGGATTGTCTGACCAATTCCCAATGTGCCGGTTGGTCGTAGTAGTACATGCTTTTGTACTTCTTTGAAAGTCTTGTCGACTTCTTGTTGTTGTCCCAGGAATAGTAGGTCATCCACATAGACCATCACAAACATTGTCTGTTCATTGTTCCTGTACACGTTGGGTTCACTTGTCAGTCGAGATAGTCCCATTTGTTGTAGGACTTGCGCAAAGTGATCCTGCCAGGATTTTGGACTTGATCTTAGTCCATAGGTTGCTTTGTTGAGCTTCCATACTGTGGTTGTGTTGTGACCACTTGGGTATAGTTCTGGCGGTGTCCACATGTAAAGATTGTCTGTCGCTGCTGGCACATGTAGAAATGCTGTTGACACATCTCCTGCTTGTATCGTCCAGTGGTTGCGCTGTGCCATTGTCAGTAGGATACGTAAGATCCCAAAGATTGGCGTGCTCGCATAGACGTTGTCAAGGTCTTGGATTGTTTCCAAGTAGCCTTTTGCTACTATGCGACATCGCACTTCCTCTTGTTTGGGTTTGTTGACCCACTTGGATTCTATGATCTTGTTCTTGTGTTCTTCTGGGACATCATTGTAGTCCATCTCTGTGAACACTCCTTGTGTCTTCATCGATTGCGCTTCTTTCTTCATTCCTTGTTGTACTTTCAATGGATCAAGACCTTCATTGTCGTAGACAAAGGGTTCGTGCAGCATCCTCTCCACGTCTGCTTCTTGTTCATCTTCACAGGATGCTGTGGTGATCTTGTCACCTTTCTTTGTGGTGATTGTCACTGCTTGTATTCTCATCTTTGCTTTTGGTTGTTCTTCATCTTGTCCTCGGTTTGCTGCTGTTGAGGACTGTGCTGTTTGGATTGCGCTTCACCTGTAGGCTCCTCGTGTTGTCGCTTGCTTGCTGGTGGTATTGGCAGTCTTGGTCTTACCAGTGTTGTTGGTGAAGTTGCCAACGGTGATGTTGCCATTGTCATATCCATTGGCTGATGATGCATTGCTCGCGCTGGCAGTGCCAGTGGTGTCTCTTGTATTGTCTGTGCGCTTGTGTCTTCCACTGTAATGTCAGCTTGTGTGCCAATTGCTTGTCTGCTTGCGGTGTTGTCAGCTGGTAGAAGCAATTGCGGTGGAATTGCCATTGGTGTTGTTGGCAAATTCCATGGATACACGCTGATAGTATCCAATAGTTGCTTGTCGTACTTGTCTGGCATAATCTGTCTTCGTATTGTCCTTGCTCTGATGACCTTGCCAGGGATGCCACCTATTGACTCTCCAGTCATTGTATCTCTGCCAAGCCAGATTCCTTTGAAGAATCTTGGTTCCATCTTGGGTTGCGCTTTTGTTGTTGGTATCATGTATTGCACTGTTTCTGCCATCTCGCATAGTGGTGCTTTGTGGTCCTTCTGCCATCGTCTTTGGCAACTTGTTTGTCCGTCCTTGCGCATGGCATACCTGTTCAGTAGCCAGGCTGCATGCCGTACAATCCACGGCATGATCGGATGCTGTACGCTCAATGTGAGGTTGTAGCTTGTGGTCACTTGTTGTACGCGGACTTGTCCCATCAAGGTGCGATGGAATCGTTCAATGCTTCCTTGTGATTGTCATGAGTATGCCGGTGATTGTCGGACGTTGACGTTGTTTCCGGGCTTTTGCGCGACGGCCTTCAGTAGGTTCTGTATGTATTCTTCTTGGTCTGATTGTAGTGTTGTGGTGGATAGTGTTGCTTGCGCTCGTCCACATTCGAACATGAACGTTTGTAGACATCGTGTCAGGTATTGTTGTTGTTGGTTCTTGTCTTGTACAAGAACTGCCATTGCCATGCCTGATTCGACATCTATTGCTGTCAGTACTGGTAGTACTTGTTTGTCTCCAAGTGCTTTCATGTAGGTGAAGTCCACTTGTATCACTGGTTGTTTGCTTGCTTGTTTTGGACGATTGTCTGTTCTTCCTTTGCTCTTGACACATATTGGGCACCATGAGCGGTATGGTAAATGTGTCAGTTCATGTTCTAGTCTTTCTCGTCTTGTTGGTTGTTGTGGCGCCTTCATTCCTTTGGCTCGTTGCGCTTGTTGAGATTCATCTTCATTGTCCGTATCGTACTCGTACTTGTACGTCGCTTCTTGCTCGAAGTTTGTTGATCCAGTCCATTGTCAAGCTGTCTTGCTCCTGATTCGTGCCAATTGTCATGGATTGTGTATCCTCTTCCTTGTTCCGTTCTGTTCGCGAATGTTGTCCGTGTCGATTTGAGTCGTCCAATGTCTGGACCATCGTCTGTTTGTTGTGGTACGTACATTGTCGTCCGTATCTGTCCGTGAACTCGTTTCCAATAGTGTCCTTCTCTGATCCAACAGTCTGTTGTTGGTGTCATTGTGGATGGATCAGGTACTGCCGTGGTTGTTGGCGCTGGCTTCTTCGTTGTGTGTCTGTAAAGTGGCTCTCTGCTTACCTGTTGCGTTGTCCCGTCTTGTTCCGGGAGTCGTAGTGTTGTGGATTGGTGTCGTGCTTGTAGTGCCTGTGGTACTATCTCTGTCTCCTCTGTTGTCTTCGCTGTTGTAGGCGCCGGTTGTGCTGGCGGCTCGTTCACTCTGAACCATGTTTCTCCTGTCCATGTGTCTCCTTGTATCACTCGTCGTTGTTCGTGCTTGCTCAAGTCATGGTATTGTTCAACAATGTCTTCGTTGTTCCCGTCTGTTCGTCGAATGATTGTTCGTCTGTAGTTGCTCAATGTCTCCAGTGGTACTGGGCAATTGTCGCCAGGAACAAAGAGAGCTTTCCTCTTGTTCCGGTGATACCGTACAAGGTATCCTTCATTGTTGTAGTTCCAATAGTCGCTGTTGCCTCCAAGGACTTGTTGCGGTCCATGCTTTGTCAGTGTTGTTGGGGCAATCATTGCAATCATGCCCTTTTGTGTATGTCTCAGCAGTAGTTGCTGATGTTGTCCCAGGTTCATGATTGTTGCTCGCAAGTAGTAGAGGGTGTGCTGCTGCACCAAGGGAACATTGAATCCCTTGACGTGGCGCATTGTTGGAGCGTCGTTGCACCTGATGTCAAAGCCTTGTTCTGCCAGTCTTGTCACTGACAGGATTGGGTCATGGATGTCACACACATAGAAGGGTATGACAATTGGTTGTCCTCTTGATTGCATGTAGACCCATCTTACTCCATAGCATTGTATTGTCTTGTTTGTCACTGTCCTGAGGTTTGGGCTTTGTGCTTGGTCAATCTTGTACACTGGATAGTTGTCTGCGAACCATAGTGACAAAGACATGTGTGGCTGCTCCACTGTCGATCATGATGTGCATAGTGTCTGTTGCGCCGCTGTTTGTGGTGTCTGTCCTGTAGTCATTGCCATTGTTGATCATGGCGATGACATGGATTGGTGTCATATCGTGGTTGCTGGTGGATGGTATTGGCGGAAGTGCCAACGGCTGTTGTCCTTGTTGTTGTCTCGTGTAGTCTTGACAGTACCGTCCATTGTCATAGTAGTCGTCGTACCATTGCGCTGTCGTGTCTTCAACGTCATTGCTTTCTCCTTGTCCAATGTTGTGTATTGCCACTCGGCAGTCTTTGGCATAATGTCCTGTTCGTCCGCATCTGTAGCATGTGTCTGTCGCTTGTTTTCCTTTGTTCTTTCCTTTTCCCTTGTTGTATCCTTTGCTGAATCCTTTGTTTCCTTTGTTGCCTCTTCCGAGTGGATTGCCGAAGCCGATCGGACTGTTGTTATAGCTATTGAATCCTTTCCCTCCATACTTTCCTTTTCCTTTGTAGTTGGCGCTGTAACTGTTGTAGCCGTAGCCGTTGTATCCTCCGTAGCCTTTGCCTTTGTTCTTTCCTTTTCCTTTGCCTTTTCCTTTGTAACTGTTGTACTTGCCTTTTCCTTGTGGATTGCATCAATGTCCATAGGTGCTTGTCCTCCACCGAAGCTTGTCGCCACACTGGATGATTGTGATCGTAGTTGTTGTAGTTTGCTGAACGCTGTGGTTGACCTGTAGTACTCGATGATTGTTTGTTTGACTCGTGCATAGTTTGGGCTTTGTCCTGAAAGCAGTTGTAGGTGTTGTTGTAGTGGTCCACTTGTCTCGTTGAGCAACACGGCAATTTTCATGGAGTCTGGGAGTGTTTGTCCATTGTCTCGCTCAAATCGTTGTAGCTCAAATTCCCATGTCAAAAATGATTCTTCGAAGTTGTTCTTGTCAAATGTTGGTTTCTTGTCAAGTGTCCTATGGATCTTGTCCCCAGTGGGATGGAGAAGCGGATGCACAGTTGTCGGTACATCTCGAAGCCAATTGTGTGTTGGTATTGTCTGCAGACTGTAGCTGCTGCTCCTGCTGTTGTGTTGATGAGGATGTACCTCAAATCAGTGCTGAGGCGAACATGTCGTTCACCATCTTCGATTGTTGATGCCGCTGCTCGTAATTGTATCTCTGTGAGTTCTGCTGTGGCTTGTTCCGCTGCTTGTAGCAAATCTGTGTAGTGTCTTGCAATCCCATGTATGCTGTAAACTTGTACTTCCATTCCTCGAACGTGCCATAGTCTCCATTGAAAAAAGGTGGTTTGAGTTTGTATCTGTTCATGTTTGCCATGTTTGTAACTGTCTCGTCTTCTGGAACTGGAGGCAGGTGGTCTCCTCCATTTGGAGCTGCTGCTGGTTGCGCTGCCATTGTTGCAGCTGTACAAGCTACCTGTTGTAGGGTCAAGGCTTGTCCTCCGTTGTCTGTGTTTGTGTGTCTGTTCCTGTTGTTGTATTGGAGCTCACCTGGATTGTTGTTACCAGGATCCTCGCTCCGCTACCATGTAAAATTCAGCAGCTGTTTGTTTGTCGTTTGTTTGTGCACGTCTCTGTATTGTTTTCCTTTGGCACTTGTCACTAGGCTCAAGCTAGGCTAGGCTCAAGGCCTTTGATCTAGGGTGCATTGTATAGCACCATGCAATTGTACATGAACACTACGATGGAGTAAACATACAATTGAAATTGTACAGAAGGTTGTATCTTGACATCTTTCTCTCTCTCACTCTCATTCTCTCTCTCTCTCTCTCTCGCTCTCTCTTTCTCTTTCTCTGTGCCATGCGAAGTGTCAAAAACCGCGGGCAAATTGCGATTTTGGCGTGTCCGCTTTATGTTTCGGTGGCAACCAATTGGAACGAAATTTGTGCCCCAAGCGTCAAAACTGAGGAAAATTGCGATTTGATGTTCCGACGGCAACCCTCTCCCACAAAATGTGTGGCTGTCGTCGAAAATGAAGGTGGAAGTTGCCAAAGTGAGCAACTGTCGTCAAACTTGATGTGGACATTGGAAAAAAATAGCTGTCGTCATCTGCCGTCACTGTCGTCGAAAATGAAGGTGGACGTTGCCAAAGTGTGTAACTGTCGCCGACTGCGGCCTCAGAACTGGGAACTCTGTAGTATGCAGCACGGGTGCGACAACGCCTTGGCGGGAAGTTCCTTTGCGTGAGTCCGTGCTGTTTGTAAACGGCAAGCACGCGGCGTGCGTAAACACGGCGCATCGCTGGGGAGCGGGTGTCCACAAGTCTTGGTGTGACATTATTATATCTAGTCTGTTGCATACCGTGTGGCGAAGTTACGTCTGTGATGTCGCTGCGCCGTGCAGATTTGCGTGGCCTTGGTTGAAAATGAGTTTGCGTGCGCAGCGTGCCGCTGGGGAGCGGGATAGAGGTCACTCGAGCACAGACAACCGGACGTTCGACAAGCTGCAGCGCTTCTGTTTCTCAGTAGTTTTCGAAGACTCTCAGCCTTGCAACACGCACACGCTCCAGTGGACACTGCGCAAAGTCTTAAAATTGTGTCATCCACACGCATTGCTGTAAAACACTAAACATGAACAGACATGTCTTTCAACGCTCCAGGGCTATTCGCCGTCATCGACTGGAAGACATTTTTGCTTCCGTCCTCCTGTGTACACACTTTTCATCCCGTCCCCTTCTCACCCTCTCTTTCACTTTCTCTCTCACCATCTCACAACTCTCTGTACTTTACTCTTTCATCGTAATGCGAGCATACCTTACACCAGAGTAACTCCACACCCAATGCTCTCGGGCCATCCATCATCTAGAACACACTGTCCAAGAGTGACGAGAACTTCTTGCTACACAAGGAGAGTCCTTGAGGACCCTACTCAATTCCAGGCCTGTCCAAGCTCTTCCGGCGATGCTGTTCCAGCAGAACCAGCCTCGAACCATTTGTGTATCTGTATGCAAGTGTCTTTGGCCGCAATGGAAAAAAGCTTGATATCTTACGATTTCAAAGTTCGTTCGATTGAGATGGCATGTCAATCCCAAGTTCAAAGAAGCGCACATAGGATGAGTTGGATAGTCCGATATCACCTGGCATCTTCGCACTAAAAAACCATCAACTCGGTTTTGAAGCAATACGAAACCACCTGGCCACGATGTTCCTCTTGTAGGAGACGGACCACCTCACAATTTCAACACATTCATGATGATATTGCACGGTATGCTTGTGTTGCACGTTCATTCCACTGCTTCTGTAACCACACCTGCGATACTTGGAGGTGGTGCTGGTGGTGGTGGTGGCCTCTCACTATCATGAGGCATCTGTCATGGCTGACAAACTCTCTTCACGTCGTATGAGATCATGGAGAAATGTGTGGCCAAAGAAAGCCAAAAGCCCCATGATTCAATTCAACCTGATGCTGCTTGTGGTGTATTGAACCCTAAGCCGCAAACGCACGAAGCAGCCCTCCACCTCCACGCGGGCTTCTACCCTCAGCACATCACATATATATTATATATATATATTGTATACACTCACACATTCGACACCATCTCGGCAAAACCCAGAAATTAAGCAATCTACAAGAAAACAGCAAAACTGAATGAAGATCAGTAGACGTAAAATTTGAGGCTATTCAGGCCCAGCTTTTTTGATCTTGAGAAATGCCTTTTGCGGCGCTGTCGTGTTCTACCCCGGTTGCAAGAACCACAGGTAACCACAGCCATCTGTTGGATCCATCTGGCATTCAAGGAAAGGCATGTGAACAAGACATTGCAAATTGAGTTCGCTCAAAAACATCAACACTCTTTTGAACTCCCCGAAATCCTACAGACTTCAACAACAATGGGTCGTCCTTGCTCCATGGACAATGAGCGCGTTATCCAAAACCATCCCCTTTACCAACGCTATCCAACACTATACACCCTACTCAAATGTATATTGCCACTGCTGCGTCGCTCATGCCCACTGACGCAGCTAAACTTCTTGGTGGCAATTTATCTCACCAGACGGCAAACAGTAAACATGCGATTACAGCACCGCTTGTGCAGCGAAAATCGACCTCATTCAAGGCAAGCAAGAACGTCGAAAGTGCATATGATTGAGTAATGCGGTGATGCGTGAGTTTTATGACGGTTGAGCATGGCTCATTACCACTTATATAGCGAGTCTCACACTTGGCAGTGTCCTATGCACTTAGCATTTGACTGTCCAAAAGGATTCAAGCACAGATGGCCGGCATATTGGGCACGGCTAGATTGCACACTACCAGTACGATGTGTTGCATCAGTGAGCAAGTGCGATCAATGCTTGTGTCGTACTTCGTCGCCAAGCTCATGAATACAAAGCCGGCCGTGATCAATTCCGTTCCATATGTCCATTTCTCTGCTGAGAGTACACACACACCAGCATCAAGTTGCAACACAAAACGATACGCAAAGCATACAGAAAGAAACGTAACTAGCATGAATACGCACAATGGACAGTCAAACACACATGGTATCCTGTATACCCCAAGCATGTCGAAGCAGCGGTGAGAAATAATGAACATTATATAATATATAATATAACTATAGGCGGGGACTTGACCAGGCAAAGGTGAGCTGATACGAGCGAAGCTTTGGCAGTGCTAGCACCAGCTATCATTCACATGGAGGTCGCTGTCTAGATGTTGATCCACAGTCAAATCTGCACAAAGTAACAAGAACACCAAACGCAAATCACAAAAGTTACAGCATCATTGATGGGCTGCGGCCGCTGTATGGACAAGAAATTACTCGTGAAGAGGGGAGTGAAGTTTCAGAATTTTCAGAGTAGCCACACTGCAAATGTGCCCAATGCTGCTAAAGGCTCTGCAGTGTCGTCAAATGCTTCGCCAAAGCCGAACGTTGCCTCACACAAGTCTGCGCTTCACACAGAAGCAGGTGCGCGTCGAAACATGGCAGCTGTCATATCCAGCCCTTACACAAAGGATGATTGCAGTGCAAGCACCTCCGTAGCATCTCCATAAGGCCTGCGTCACAAATCAACCAGGAGCTGAGGGCACAAAGCAAATAAAAAAGTTGGAGCATTTCAACACAGCAAGGGCTCATTCCATTCTTTTCAGGAGATATGTTCAAGTCATTTTGACGATAGCTCTTTCCAGTCACTCACTCACTCACTCACTCACTCCCTCCCTCCCTCGCTCACTCGCTCACTCACTCACTCACTCTGACTCTAACCCACTTCGAGATCCTAGACATGATGCTTTTGACATAAAGCAGCTGCGCTGCTTGAGATTGCTGCCTACAGCCTACATCATGAGTATTCTAGACCTTGTGAACTTGCTGCGGTGTCTCTTCTTCGCTGTCTACAGTAACATAATTGCCAGTTAGGACGCAACCACGTCTGCCCAGATATTGACAAATCTTGAATCCTGGCGGCGATGCCGTGGCCTGGCACTGCGTGGCCTCCCATCTCCAAAGTCTGGGGGCGGAGCCTAGATGGTGGACGCTGGACACAGCACGTCTGCCAGGGCCATCCATTGCTACATTGGGCTGATGGATCCCAACTAGTAGCGATGGCCTCCAACCTAGTAGCGATGGCCTCGATGGCCTCCAACCCCAGTAATGGATCCCAACAGTATTTCAGAAACCAGGTCCGCTATGTCATAGCATTTCACGACTCAGCATTAAACGCAAGGCATACAAAACACTACCTCGGTCAAGGCCATGGCAGCATCTAGCGGTGGTGGTACAGGTGGCGGCGCCATCTCTGAAAGGAGGCGTCCCTCACAACAAAAAAGGAACAAAGGCAAACTGCTTGACATCTATTCATTCCAACCGAAATACTTTGCATGCAATGTAAAGGCCATAAAGAAAGACTACTACCCGCATAGAGACTCACAGGCTAAAATGTCAACCTTTAGCGCCCGTCCGTCCATCCACCCACCCACCCATCCATTCGTTCAAGCACCCACCCCTCCCCTAGATCCCAAACCATAATGTCCAGATCATGCCAGCCATCATGATCCCGTGGTTCCATATGGCGCCTATATACATCTATCCATCCATCCATCCGTCCGTCCGTCCGTCCGTCCGTCCGTCCGTGAGTCCGTCCGTGCGTCAGTCGGTCTTTCCAATACACTCGATCACCAATGATGACTTGCATCACCAGCATCATCAAATCTCCACAAGGTGCCCAAGAACGTGTACAGTATCTACGGTTAGAACGCCATTGCGGCTGATTTCGTAATGTTTACAATCGCAGATAATGGGGACGAGATAACTTGTGACAGTCATTCCACCATGCGATGTGTGAAGACTTCATCATGTCAGTGGACAAAATTACTTGTGTAGCCAAACACCATTTGATGTTGCTATCATTTTTTTGTGGGGCCCATATCGTTTTCCAAAACCATACTTAGCATACCGGCACATAGCCGTGACTAATAAGTCAATCAATAATATTGTCAGTCACTGATGTGAGTGCCTCCAACATGGGGTGTAGCGGCTTTTCTCTTGGAGAAGTGCCTCTCAACCCTCCACCGCTGGTTGACACCTCAGAACCATACATGTCCTGTGTAGACATTCATATCCAGTCTTTCAGACTTCATTGATTTCATGTTGATTGAAGGACGTGATGTGAATGTCTCTCTCAGCTTCAAACAAACAGCGGCCTGGCTGCATTTCCAGCTTCCTTAAGGAACCGAGGTACTACAAACTATGGTGACACTGCACACATTGCTTGCAGTCTGTTGCAGTCCTCTTCCAACACCCGAAGTTGGCGCCTAGAATCAGTGTTTGTCTTTGTCTGGGGGTGCAAGAGTATGTCACTTGCGCTGGTAAAGGAGAAACTGTAGGTTGTGAATTTCTTCTGCTCAATGCCCCTCTGCAAAGCAATCAGCTCTTCTTCTGCACTTGCCTGCAGTGGGTTCTTCCCACAAAACCAGCTCATTATAAGGTGCCACCAAGCGTTCTCGCCTGAGAGTTCCCATTTTTGAGAGGTGTGCCTTTGGCAGAACTCTTCTCCTGGTCAAAAACTTGTGTATCTCTTTGTTTGCGAACCGTGAAAGGAGTCCTCTTTACAGGTTGAAGGTTGAAAGTGCTAAGTTGTAACTTCCATTTCACTGTCACTCCTCCTTGTCAGGCCGGTGTGAAGATACAGCTTGACCGTCTGCGTCAAGCAAAAGCAAGTGTGGCTGTGTGTGTGTCCCCTCTGGAGTCACGAGGTTCCGATTGGACTGCTTTGCTTCTTGATGTTCTTTTAGCAGGGGGCAGTAGCCCACTCATGAGTCTACTGCCAACGAAGCTGCTCATGAGTTGGGGGGATATCGGAGCTAATCACTTCGACATACCTGCTTGGCTGTGGCGCTTTCAGGTTTGTACTCCACTTTTCCGGTAAAGTGCTGGTGAGTTCTGCAGATGCGCACGCCACGCCGTCATCTGTCGGCTCGACTTCGACTTGAGCCTTTGGCCCCTTTTCCCTTTAAAGACCCCCCAAGCTCCATAGGGCTTTTCTTGATCCTTTCAGGATTTGGGAACCCAGGTTGGCGTGTGGCAACCGCTTTCAAGTCAGTACGCACTTCTATAAGTGTGTCTCTCCTCGTGAGAGCCCAGGGTGACTCCGCAGAGTGGCCCCTGTGGACCCGTCGAACGGGCGTTTGTCTTCGCCCTGCGTCCGGGACCAGAGTAGTCCGCAGCGGACAAAGTAGGCTTAGGCCAAAGTTATTTGCCAAGACTTGCTTGAATTATTGAGTACAAGTAGGCAGCCTTCGGGCACGCCATGAGGTGACCGCAGCGGTCAGCAGTAGGCAGCCTTCGGGCACGCCGCAACGTGGTCGCAGCGACCAAAGCTTGTTCAAGGTTCATTGGAACCTGTCGGGACCTTGGAGTGATGATTCCTCCTCCACCAATCCCCGCTCCACCCGCCATGTCACCTTCTCCTGCTGGATTGGCACCGACGGAGGGCATCCCTATGGTTGCTCAAGCAGTTCTTCATCGGGAGATTCTTCATGTACATGGCTTGAGATTTACCGATTCTCGTAGGCTCAACTTTTACTCAACTTGACTCTCGTCCGGAGCTTAATAGAAAAGAACGCCTCCCCTCGGGGAGGCGTGTGTGTGTGTGTCCCCTCTGGAGTCACGAGGTTCCGATTGGACTGCTTTGCTTCTTGATGTTCTTTTAGCAGGGGGCAGTAGCCCACTCATGAGTCTACTGCCAACGAAGCTGCTCATGAGTTGAGAGGATATCGGAGCTGATCACTCCGACGTACCTGCTTGGCTGTGGCGTTTACAAGCTTTTACTCCACTTTTCCGGTAAAGTGCTGGTGAGTTCTGCAGATGTGCACCCCACGCCGTCATCTGTCGGTTCGATTTCGACTTGAGCCTTTGGCCCCTTTTCCTTGTAAAGACCCCCCAGGCTCCATACGGTTTTTCTTGATCCTTTCAGGATTTGGGAACCCAGGTTGGCGTGTGGCAACCGCTTTCAAGTCAGTACGCACTTCTATAAGTGTGTGTTTGTGAAAAGGAGAGCTACTTGACATGGGAAAGGGCAGAATCAAGCTTCCAATGTCTGACTCCCTCCGAGCAAGCTATGTGACTAGAAGGAAAGTGCTTACGGATGTTCAATCTTGGGTTTCAGCCTCGTGAACCTATAGAACTCGTCGCTGCAGTTGGAGTAGGTTGGAGGAGGCTAGATTGTGGTAGAATTACATGCATGCTGCATGCATGTTGCCCTTTTATGTATCCAACTATTCCTTTGCACGGCCATTCAAAATCAAACATCAATCTTTCGCTGCCTTCGCCTGTGGTGCCAGTGTCTCCAGCCTATGCAGTTCTCCGAAATTGGTGAGCTTGACGACGACTTGCCAAACTCAACGCTATGCTTTGCAGTATCGTGGTGCCATGGATCCCGGCCACAGCTTTGCTTGGGCTTGATGCTCTGACTGGACCTTGATATCCAACAAAGCATCAAAGTAGTTTGTTACGTATATAGCAACAAGAAACCGCCCTGTCTGCTTCAGGAGACAAGCAAAGGTCATGGCGAGATGCCCCCTTGAGCCTTAGTTCCAATGAATTGTCTGCGCTCCAAAGAGACAGTGCCCCAACCACTTGACTTGCAAGTGAGATTGCCTTCCTTGAATTGATGTTTAAGAGCAACTTGGGCTTTGAGGGGCACCATAGAGGTCCTGATTCTCTTGTCTGGTGTTCAAAAACCATCAACAACCTATCTGAGATGTGTTGCTTCGCACGGGAGAGCATCTCGTAGTTATATACCAAAATTTGTGAATATGTGTTTCGGTTTGGTACCGTGATTGCTTCCAAGCTTGTTGAGCGGTCAACAACGACTTTGTCAGCAGCTCGCTTGAATGTTGAATGTCAAGTCAAGGACGTTCCTGCAGCTGGCGCCTTGGCAACTTCATCCTGTGTTTGAAGGGCACTTGTGAATAATGAGTCACAGCTCTCATCAATTCAATTCTCGTCTGCTGGAGTTGTTGCATTGGCATAAAGTGTAAGTCCTTGCCCACCATGGTTTCCAAAAGCCGCTTTTGCCTGGCATATTTCTGAGTCAGGTGCACAACAGGTCGATTCGCTCCAAGAACGTTTATGAAAAAGTGCTCCAGCTTGCAAAGGCTTACGAGTGTCAAGATCGCCAGCTACGCGTCAAATATTGCTTCTGTATCTCAGACCGCATTCCTGACAGCAAAAGCATCTCTGGGACAAAAGCACTCGCCTTTCATGATCGTTCTCGGAATCTACGCACCACAGAAATGAGAAAAAAGCACCGCGCCACGAAGAAGGAAGTTCCTGTTCTCCAGATTTCTTGCAATACGCAAGATTTATCCCGGCACTGTGTCTTGCTTCAGTTTCAATTAGTTCTGCCCCGTTATTATGACCTTGGTTGAACAAGAAGTATGCGACCCCTTACCAAATTCTGAATCGCACAAATAGAAAAAGCAATTGTACCTGCCTTCCAGCTGCTTTTCGACATCACCTGGTACTCATTCATGAGGTGTGGAAGAAGCTCGTGAGGGCGTGAAAGTAGATTCGCCTAGTTCATCTTCCCGCACTCGAATACTCCTCTCCCAGTCCTGGACTGGCTGTTGCTTCACTCCGTTTGGCAAGAATCAAAGGCTTGTAGAGTGAATGAAGCTCCAACTCAAAGTATTGTCTATAGAGTCTATAGCCAAAGACGATGAGATATTGCTTGCAAAGCTCCTGCAGACGGTCAACTTCTGAGTGAATGGCATCACCCACGTGCAGCAGCACTGCCTGCCAGGTATACCCAAACAAGGTCCTTGTGCGATGTACAAGCAAGTTCCAAGTGCCTGGTGTTCAGCCAGCTGATCACGGCACCTGCCATGGGCATTCATCCAATTGCATGCACTGCACCTTTGGAATCCCTTGAAGATTCTGACAACCTAACCGGAAAAAGATCTGATCCTTATGTCCTGCCTCTCCAGCTCACTTCGGACTTCGGCAAGTCGCCGCCACTCATCAGCGGCAGACCAAGCAAGGCGAGAGGAGGCCTGAACTAAGCGAAGACCGAGACCAAGACCGGGACCAAGATGTGTTTTTGTATTTTTCTCTTTTTTTGTTTAGCCCGGGGGGGTAGGCCGTAGAGGTGAGGTAGGGGTAGCTAGTAGCTAGCAAGCATCTACTACCGACAGGACGCAGGATAGCCCGCGCTAATGATTTGGTTTCTAGATCTTTTGGGAAACTTAAGAGACCGAGTTCTTAGTTCCAGAGGAGTCCGTGACGACCAAAAAAGCGTTGCTGCGGCAAGGGATCCAAAAGTGATTGGTTAAGAGAAACGACATCTCCAGAGGCCGGGAGAATAACCTCGAGATGTCTCAAGTCGATCAAAAGCCTTGACTGACCCTCAGCCTCTGATGGATCTGTGCGATCTCGAGAGCCTTACAAGTTGAATCAAATTGCTGCAAATTTAGTTTGGACATGTTTGACAAATCAAAGATCCTACCTCCAGTCAATGCCACTGTCGTCACATCTGGAGGTGGCAGATCCTCGCTTGCAAATGGATGTGCAAGGAAGGTTTTTGCAACTGAGGTTGTGGCTGGTACAGACAAAGGTGGATTCTCTCGTAGCCATCTCAAAGACCTTGCCACCAAGGATGTCACAAAAATGGAAGAATTGCATGCAACAGAAAATGAGCAGATGCTGTGCGAACCACTTGTTGCTCACGTAAGACATCAAACATGCGGGACAAATACTTCAGTTGTCTTCTTTGTCGTCAGGCGCTTTGGCTTCGTGTTCATCACCTCAACACAAGTGTGGCAAAACGTTTATTCAAAACGTTGCAAATGCCAAGCTTGCAAAATACTGCCGCACTACGGCGCCTGAAGTGTGGCAAGCATGCGTGTGGAAATCGTTAGATTTGCAGGATGAGCCACACTTCCTGAAGGGTCTGAACACCACTTTCGTTGGCAAGCGCTTCCAACGTGTTGTTGCTTGAAAAGGTACAACGCAACACACAACAAAAAGGTGGATCAAAAGGTATCCTTCAAAAAGAGGATAAGACAGTAGTCCAAGTAAATCATTTTGTCCGTCTTCCACTATCCTCTGTCCAGCAAACCAAACTAATTTGCAAATCAGAATCAAACACTTGATGAGCAGCAGAGCCGCGCTCGGATCATCTGAATCTGAATCATGCACAGGCGGCGATATGTCCTGCCAAAGTTCAGCAACTAGATAACAAGAAACAACTACGAGTAATGAACTTGTTACTCGTAGCTTCTTGCTACTACTAAAACTAGTAGTGCACTTGTTTCTAGTAGCGTTACTAGTAGTTTCTTGCTACTACTAGTAAGGCACGCGTTACTAGTAGCTTCTTGCCACTACTAGTAATGCACTGGGTACTAGTAGCGATGAAACTGTTACTAGCTTCTTGCTACTCTTAGCAAATGCACTTGTTACTAGCAGCCATGCACTTGTTACTAGTAGTTTCTTGCTGCTACTAGTAATGCACTTGTTACTAATAGCGTTGCATTTGTTAATAGTAGTTGCTTGCTACGACTAAGAAAACACTTGTTACTAGTAGCGGTGCACTTGTTACTAGTAGCTTCTTGCTACTACTAGTACTGCACTTGTTACTAGTAGCGATGCACTTCTTACTAATGATTTAATGGTTTCTTGTTGGAAGCTATCAATAGTAATGCAGTAATGCACTTGTTGCTGGTAGCGATGCACTTACTGCTAGTAGTTTCTTGCTACTCCTAGTAGTGCACTTGTTGCTGGTAGCGATGCACTTGTTACAACTCGTTTCTTGCTACTACTAGTAATGCACTTGTTGCTAGGAGCGATGCAGTTGTTACGAGTAGCTTTTTGCTACTATTAGTAATGCACTTGTTACTTGTAGCGATGAACTTGTTACTAATGGTTTCTTGCTGCTACTACTACTACTACTATTACTACTACTATTATTACTACTACTACTACTCCCACTACTCCTGCTACTACTACTACTACTACTACTAACACTAACACTAACACTAACACTAACACTAACACTAACAACTAGGATGACGAGGAGGTGGACGACGACTACAGTAGATGGACACAAAAGATTAGACCCCTCACTCGGACACTGTCACCAACCCCCGACCCCGAAAGGTCAACGTTGAACACGACTTCGTTGAATTTGCGTTGCCAGGGTTTGATTTGTTTCGTCCATTCGCCAAAACACTCTGGCAGGCTCGCTAACTTTGAGTTTTGGGGCGGAAGGGGTCCAAGCGGCTTGAAGGGATTGAAAAATTGTGTCCATCTACGGTACTGGGTGTGGACGGCGGCTACTGTTCTGTTACGTTGACACGACTTCATTGAATCTGTGTTACCAGGGTTTGATTTGTTTCGTCCATTCGCCGAAACACTCTGGCAGACGGGGTCCAAGCGGTTGAAAGGGATTGAATTTTTTGTCCTTCTACGGTAGTAATGCAACTGTTACTAGTAGCGATGCAATTATTGCTAGCTTCTTGCTACTACTAGTAATGAACTTGTTACTAGTAGCGATGCACTTGTGACTATAGTAGCTTCTTGCTAGTAGAAATAATCTACTTGTTACTAGTAGCAATGCACTTGTTACTAGTAGCTTCTTGCTACTACTAGTAATGCACTTGTTACTAGTAGCGATGCACTTGTTGCTTGTAGCTTCTTGCTACTACTAGTAATGCACTTGTTACTAGTAGCTTCTTGCTACCACTAGTATTGCACTTGTTACTTGTATTTTCTTGATAAAACTAGTAATGCACTTGTTACTAGTAGCGATGCACTTGTTATTAGTAACTTCTTGCTACTACTAATATTGCATTGTTGCTAGTAGCTTCTTGCTACTACTAGTAATGCACTTGTTACTTGTAGCAATGCACTTGTTACTAGTAGCATCTTGCTACTACTAGTAGTGCACTTGTTGCTAGTAGTTTCTTGCTTCTCTAGTAATGCACTTGTTACTAGTAGCTTCAAGTCTAATGGGCTAGTGAAACACGAATGCAGTAAGGAAGAGGATGGGGCAACTCTGAACAACTTGTATCCTGTGTTCCATCTGGTCGTTGCGGAACATCACGTCTCTTGTCTATAGGCTTCCGTGCTTGGCGATTCTCCTTGGTTCATGCCACTGAAAACAGCTTGTAAAAGCATTATTGAGTCTTTACATTAAAGCATATCAAAAGGTAAAACATTCTTGAGACAAGTAACCCACTTCAGAGTACATTGTTGAATGTGAATTTCGATAGAAGCTTTTCCATATAGTTTCCCGCAAATGTGGCACATCTGGTCAAAGTAGGGGTGCTTTTTAATTCTGAAAGGCGAAGTTGGGGATGAAGCGACAGCAGGTTGGCTGGGCTGCTCGGCGAACTGCTCACAAATTCGCAAATGTTCTCCAAGGTTGTCTTCTTCAAATTTCCGGCCACAATATTGGCAGCTTTTCAGACAGGCATCACTGAAGACTTCAAGAGCAGCTTTGTTGAAGTCCTCCTGTTTGATGAGGAATAGCCTAACCACCTAACCGAAAACATTCTCCAACGCAGCAATTGTTCATGTGCACATCTATTCGTCACGGTCGCAGGGACATGCAGGCTAGATGACGCACCCGATGGTTGCTGCCAAAATCTGCATGTTGGCTTGGGTCATCCATGGAGTACCATGGGTCACAAGCTCCATGCCTGCCTTTTTGTCTCAAAAACAAAAATACTGATCAGGAAAATCAAAAACAATCCAAACAATCAGCCCCTGGGTCAGTCCTGTGACATGTCAGCTGTTCGCATTGGTGCCTGTGGGATCGGACGTTGCTGGTCAGCTGGCTGCTTGCTCTCTCTGTCTTCCCATTTCTTCGAGCAGCTTGGCAAATGCTTTGCCTAAGGCTTGCACACTTTGCAGGCACATCCAAACTCGATAACGGCAACTGAAAGAAATCGAACTCCATCTGAGGTAGGAACAATTGATGAAGTGCCAAATTCCCGCCCACAAATGTGACAAACCACCAAGATTGGCTTCGCGGCCACGAGAGCCTCTGTGTGATCAGCTTCGCATTTTTGCCGGTGACTCTCAGCTTGGTCCTCTTGAAACTGTCCTCCGCACCTGGAACACATAACCAATCGTCCCTCCTTATAAATTGCTGCGGCAGCGGCATTGTATTCGCCAAGACTGACCTGTGCCAAGTCTGGAGGATCTTTCGGCGGTTCTCTCCTCTCTTCCGGTGGCTTGTGTTGTTCGCATTCCTCCCACTTTCTCCGGCACTGGGGCACATGAATGCCAATTGACGCCTTTCCAAAAAATCCACCACAAATGTGGCACACTACCATCTCTGGAGGTTCACTGACCTTTTTGTCGATATTTTCAGCCGTATCTCCTTCAAGGATATCTCGTTCAAAAGGCGGTGATTTGGCCTGTCGAGCGGCCAACAGTTTTGCACATTGCCTTTGGTGAATGCCGATGGAGCTGTTACTAAATAGCCCGCCACAAATGTCACACGTTGTGGATCTGATATCAATTGAGCTTTGTGGCTTCTTCTCACGACTTCGTTGCCTTGGTGGCTCTGATGGCCTCCCTTTCTTGCGAGTATCAGCGTTGCCTTTCATAAGACATCTCCGTTCATGCATGTGCAGGGATGTGGTCAAGAATTTCTTCCCACAAAACCGACAGTCTTCAGTTCTAGGACTACGTATCTTCTCATCAGCACTCAGACTGCGCATGCTTTGAGAAGCCCATTTTACATGGCGAGATCCGCAGCTCTTGGATCTTGGACTCCCTGGACCTTGCCGTCTCTGATAAAGCTTGGCACGCTGCCGCGTGTGAATCTCAATCGACGCGAAGCTGAACTCCTTCTTGCACAAGCTACAAGCAGTTGTCAATGGCCTTGTAGCTTTGGGACTTGATGAGCGCACTCGCGTAGTCTCAGGACACATCTCTTTAAAGCTGGCAGTCTTTCTCACCCTGTCCTGTTCAATAGTGGCATTGCATTGATGGCTCGAGAAAACCTCCCGATTTACTCAAAGCACAAAACGGAAACCACTGGATTAAAATGGATTAAGGGCTAAAGATTCTTATTTGCTCTGCAATTTTGGTCCAAACTGTTTTCACGGCAACCCACTCCTCTGGACTCGCAATCCGGCCTTCCATTACCCCACGAGCTTTCCACAGCTCGGCGCAACGTTGCCTGTGCAGCTCCTCAGCGCTCATGAGCTACCCACGTAGGCGACCATCACACCCCAGGCATCACAACCAAGCATTACAAGCATCGCTTGTCTTCTCAGAATATCAGCTGCGTGAGCGTTTATTGCCACATGTAGCGTAAGATGTAATTACTGTACCTGTTTTCGCAACTCTGCTTTGCAAGAATCCTTAAAGTTGTAGTGTTTGCTGATTCAATCAATCCCTGGCAAAAACTGTTTGTCCCAAGTCTGGCTGTTGATTTCTGATTCGGGGAGCTCATTCTTCTGTGATATACAAACAAAATTCAAAAATACTACTCGAGCTATCGACGTCAGTCAGTTTAGACAGTTTAGAAGAATCAATGCAACTCCACAAAAGGTTCTCCATCCGATGGCGTTGAGGGAGTTAGATTGTACCGAGACAACCCGCCCTATCCCATTGCTGCAGCGAGTCAC